TGATGTAGATACGTTCAGGTATTACACGTGAATACAAAGGCAATTCAAATAAAGTGGCTATCTCAAAGTATATTTCTTCTTTTTCTCCTTCTTCTTCTTCTTTTGCAATTTATTCTTTTCATTCATTGCTCGTAACTCCTGAATATGTTTTTTCTCTCCTTTTTTTTCTTTTCTTTTCCCTTTTTTTTTTTTTTTTTTTTTTTTTTTTTTAGAGTAAACTCTTTCATTAATAAAACACGTTTTATGTAATATTAAGAGTACACGTAATAGTACGTAACTAGCAGATATTAGCAGTTATGTTAATGACTCGATTTGTGAAAGTAGCCTTGACGATTACCAATGGATTATTATCTGAGGTTAAACTATTTAGTATCGCGTAATAAGTAATTATTACGTTTCGTTTAAATCTTACAATGTAAACACGCAAACACGTAATCAATATTTATCTCATGTATTTATCGAATCATTCAAGAAAAAAAAAAAGAAAAAAAAAAAAAAAAGTAAAAAAAAAGAAAAAGGGATACAATGAGTAAAATTTTATGGTATATTTGTTTTGTTTTGTATCATTTTCTTTTCTTCTCTTCTCTTTCATTTTCTCAATTACAGTTCTGTCCTTTGGTAACGATAAAGCAACGTCAACGAACATAACATTGAACAGTAGTATCGTCGCCGAAATTTGTGGAGCCAATTTTTGTGTCGCATCTTCGTCTACGAACGACAATCCAAATCTAGAGCAACCACCGATAGAGAGGATCCACTTGATATCTGGCATTTATGTTGCCCTTATGATATTGGCCTCTCTGGTTATCGCATTTGGGGTTGATTCGTTGTCTAGGTAATACAGATGAACGAGATTACTACCAAGTTATAGTGAAGTGCTTTTTTCACACGTTATATACATATATATATATATATACACATATATACACACACATCTGTATATATATATATATATATATATATATATATATACATTTTTTCGTTTATTCCCTTTCATTACTTTTTTTTCTACTTTCTATCTATCTCTCTCTCTCGCTCTCTTTTTTCCATTTTTTTTTTTTTATCTTCGACCTCCTTTCAAGACTTTATCGGATTATTTCATATATCTATGTATGTTTTCTTTTGCCTTTCTCTCTTTCGCTCGCCTTTTGTTATTTTTTTTTTTTTTTTTTTTTTTTTTTTTTAGGTATGACAGAGGTAGAAAGGGCTCGGTGACAGGATTAACAGGATTAAAGCTCTTGGCGGTTACGTTGAAACTGTTGAAAGAAAAGAGTCAGCTTTTAATACTACCCATAATAATTTTCATTGGAGCCGAGCAAGCTTTTCTCTTTGCCGATTATAACGCAGTGAGTTTTCAAGTATACTCCAATGTGTTTCTTTTACAGATTTCACGGTTTTACATTGTCCTTTGTTTTTTCAGTCCTTTGTTTCTTGCGCTTGGGGTATCAGTAATATTGGATACGTTATGATTTGTTTCGGTATTGCCAATGCAATTGCAGCATTGACTACGGGTTCCATAATAAAATTGACTGGCAGGATTCCCGTTATGATATTTGCCTTTTGCCTTCACATAGGGATTTTAATTTTTATGTTGAACTGGAAACCAATACCCAATCAAGGGATGATATTCTTTTTAATTTCTGGATTATGGGGAATCTGTGACTCCATCTGGTTGGTGCAAGTTAACTGTAAGTTTCTTTAACCAATTCTTTTTTCTTCCTTTTTTTTCTTTTTATATATATATATATATATATATATATATATATATATATATATATATATATATATAAACATTCACGTCTTATCAATCGTAGATAAATCTCATGATCATTCACAACTGTTGGTCATTCACAATGAATTATTTGATTAAGTAAAATTTAATTTAATTCATATAAAAGAATTATTTGTCAAGATATATTTTTATTATCTTTTATGAGTATATTAAATTACAGTTATAATTGATCAAATGTTGAATATTTAAGGGAGAAAAAAATCAAAAAGAAAAAAAAACGAAACACCTACCTTGTCGACAGATGGTGTAACAAAGTTTTAATATTATTTATATTTTCAGCTTTAAGTGGTTTATTATTCCCCGGAAGAGAGGAAGCAGCTTATTCCAATTTTCGACTATGGGAATCTACTGGATCTGTGATAACGTACATATACAGTCCTTACTTATGTACTTACATGAAGATTCATATCTTGATGGCTATTCTTTGCATCGGCATGATAGGTTACGCTATTATCGAATGGGTAGGTAAAACTAAACCAGTTGTTATGAAGGAGAAACCAGATTTCGAATTGGTTGCTGATAACGAAGTAATGCGATAGTAAGGGTTGAAACAAATAGTAAATAAGATAATCATAAATCTTTTGCATGTAGGAAATGATAATGAAAATAAAAGAAAATAAAAAAAGAAAATATATATATATATATATATACATACGTATAAATATATTAATGTATATTCTTATACGATAGATAGATAATTTGGAAATAAGCATAATGGATTAATTTGTTAGCTTAGGTAACAAAGAGACACGATCTTATGTTAATTTGTACCACAATATATGTTTTTTATTTTATTCTTGTGGACACCTACTAGATTTTACACAGGTATTCGCTTAACGGCTAAGATTTCTTTTTTTTTTCTGGTTTCCTTTTAAATACGTAGTTTTTAATGTTACATCGTGTGTCCGTGTTTTTTTTTTTTCCTTTTTTTTTTCTGTACGTGTAATATGTGTCCGTGTGTGTATGTTTTCTTTTTTTTTTTTTTTCTCTTTTTTTTTCCGTCTAAATTGCTAACATTCAAGCTAAAGCTACGGCTTGCTTAATTTAATTGTATACTTCTTGTGTGCTTAATCATCGACTGTGTGTTTTACTGTGCATCGAGGGTCAACGGACTATGCCGTGTCTCGCGAATACGACGTCGTCGAACGAGAATTGAAATAAAACAAATCTCTCGTCGCGTCCGCTGATAAAGAAAAGTGTACGATCATCCCGCGTTAGGAAAAAATTCTTGTTATTTTTTCTTCTTTTTTTTTTCTCTTTTTGTTTTTTTTTTTTCATCTTCATCTTCATCTTCTTCTTCTTCTTCTTCTTATTCTTCTTCTTCCTTCTCCTACTCTTCTTCTTCTTCTTCTTTCTTTCTTTCTTTCTCTTCCTCTTTCACTCTCTCTTCTTCTTCCTTTTCTACACACTCTTCTCATCTCTATTTTATTTTCCTGTTACCATGTCACTTAGGATTTCATTGACATTTTGTTCCCATTACTGTAAATTTCAATGGATCTTCGCATGGCGTGCCTTTTACTTATTTCGTAATTCTCTCTCTCTCTTTCTCTCTCTCTCTCCAAGTTTCTGTCTTTCCTGTTCTTTGCCTTTCTTTTATTTCTTCTTCGTCTTCGTCTTCGTTTTCTTCGTTTTCCTTCACTTCTCCTCATCTCCCTTAACGAATCCTCATAATTGCTGATTGTATCGCGTAATAACTAGCTTAGCCTGTTTCTCGTATATACATATCAAGTGTGGTTTTTATTTTTTTTCTTTTTTTTATCATTTTTTTTTTCTCTTATATTCGCAGTACAGTTATATGTGTGTGTGTTGTATTTTTTTTTTTTTTCATTATTTTATAAAACGTAATAGGAACTTTGGTTTCTCTGGGCGATGTTTCAGGAACAGTTTCCTCCTCGATAGGATTACGACGATGCCGCGCCGTTTGCGAGTTTTTGGACGAAAAGAAAGATTTACAAACAATCGTGATCAGTTTCGTTATGTCCTACGTTTTTCCTTATTCCGAATTATTCCATCTTATCCAAAAAATTTATTCCCCTTTTTAAGACATTACTTTCACTTTCTATGTTTATCTTTTTCTTTTTCTTTTCTTTCTTTTCTTTGTTATTTTCTTTTTTCTTTCTTTTTTTCTTTTTTTTTTTCTTTCTTTCTCTTTTACCGGCTAAACCAAGCAGCCTTACTTCGAACGATGCGCAATGTAGAAAAATTTTGTATTAGCATAAAGAGCGAGGAAAATTTCGTGTTATATTTTCTTCTTTCTATGTATATATATATATATATATATATATATATATATATATATATATATATATGTATATATATATGTATAATTTTTTAATTTTTCTTTTTTCTATTATTTTGCTTAATACTTTTTCTCTCATATTTTTTTTTTCTCTCTCTCTACTCGGAAACTGCTATAAAACATTCGCCCGTGGATCTATGATTTTTTTTTCTTTTTTTTTTTTTTTTTTTTCCTTAGGAATATGACACTCACGGATACAATTTCACATGATTTTTTTTTTTTTCTTTTTTCTTTGCTTAATACTCGCGTTTTTATATTACCGCAATAATCTATTGAATATCGATTTCACGAAGAAAATACACATGATTCCTAATTCGTTATACCCTTCCTCTCGGACGTGCGTCCTTTCGAATTACCACCCCCAACCCCCACCCCTTCCACAAGCCCGACACTACACCACACGCAGCTTCCCTAACAGATTAATTAATAATCCTCCGTCCGTTCCTCTTTCCCTCTTTATCTCTCTCTCTCTTTCTCTCTCTCTCTCTCTCTCTCTCTCTCTCTCCCTCTATCTCTATCTCTCTCTTTATTCACGTAACAAAATTTAATAACCGGAATATCTCTGTACAAACGTTTCTTTTCATTTTTTTTTTTTTCATTTATCAAAAAGGACAACATACGATTTCCCCCTACCTCAGTTTATCCCAACCCGCCCACCCCCCCCCACTTAGAATCGATCAAAATTTTGAATTTTGAATTTATTAATAACTTTCAATTCCCCCATCCCTCCCTCCCATCCCCATTCCCATCCCTCTATTTCCACCCTTATCCATGTATAGCACACTTTTCATTCTCTCACCTCTTCTCTTTTCTTACTTTATGATACAACTCTTTAGGAACAGATTACTTTGCTCGTCGGCACTCTTAATAATATAAGATCTTAATAATAATCTCCCTATTTTCTCTCTCTCTCTCTCTCTCTCTCTCTCTCTGCTGTCTCAACACATTGCTGGGCGAATTTCAGCATCCTCTTCATTCGTCTTCTATTTCCTTGTTGCTCCGCTTACATTAGTCGTTTTTAGAAGTATACTTTAACCATGTCAATTTAATTTCTCACGAATTCAGCTATTTTATAGCCTACGATATTATTAAAAGTTTATTCCTTAAATATTACAACGCTTATATATAATCGATAATCTTAATATATGTACACGGGGCTAAACCACTTGAAATCGCGCACCTAACTAATATTATTTATTTTTATCATCGATTCTCAATGTTATTCACGTAATGGATGAATAATTATTGGTAGTAAATAGTCCATTATTATAACGAAGGTATCTCACGTTTTTCTTACCTTTTAGTTTACTATTTCTTCCTCTCTTTCTGCCTCTCTCTCTCTCTTTCTCTCCCTCTCTCCCTCTCTCTCTCTCTCTCTCTCTCTCACTCTCTCTCTCTCTCTCTCTCACTGTCTATCTATCTATCTATCTATCTTTATCCTTCTTCTTTCATCGAGGGGGAAAAAAGGATACGAAGTACATTACGATATATGTACGATGTTATTCCTTAAATCTTTCAAATCTCATTCCGCTCTCGTATTATTTAGAAGAAATAATTATTATTTTATTATGGCTTTTAGCTATTAATTTATCACGTTTTAATGCGAGAAATCGTCAAGTTTGTCATCGATCAGTTTTAAAGCTTTCGATCTCGTTCTCTTTTATTTATTTTATTTATAAAAATAATAATATTAAAATTATCGGGAGTGTCTGAGATTAAAAACAATATCTCGAAGGAAGCTGCATCGATAACTATTATTATATATATATACACATATATATATATATATATAATTTGAGCGTGTACATGTAATAATTTTAATCTATGACGATTATTACATACGCACACGGTATTTCGTGAGCTTCGTTCGAGTTTGAATAAGTACAAGAAGGATGAAAAATATAAGAGATATTGAAGATGATTAAAAAAAAAAAAAAAAAGAAAAAAGTGAAAAAAAAAGAGTAAAAAAAAGTTTGAGTCCCGTTTCTAAACCACGAGGATAAAGAATAAAAACAAGAGAAAGAAAGAAAAAATTCATGCCACGAGATGCGAGATCGCATTTGAATTATTATATTATTATCTTGATCTCAAACGATTGCGGATTAGTTTTTCACAAATCTTCGAAGTTCTGTTACAAATTTGAGAACCGAGGTGTGATGTAATTCTGATCTCTGCTTTTTTTCTTTTTCCTTTTTTTTTTTTCTTTTCTTTCCTACACGTCTTTCATACTTTCAACGTCGCGTTATTGCATTATTTATTTGCTATATATGTATGTATATATACATATATATATATATATATATATATATATATATATATATATATAGCTCTTATGGTTTAATGGAGACGTCGAAGTATTTACTTTTTCCTCTTTCTCTGTATTAATAAAAATGATTTAATTAATCACTGTGATTGACTCTTCTTCCGTGGTTTCTCATCAGGATTGAATACTTTAAATGGCTATACAATGTCATTTTATTAAGTTAGCCCAAGCAATAAGAATCGTCATGATTAGTTGTCCTTTTTTCCTTGGAATTATTTTAAAATATTCAATCGAATCGATCGCAATGATTTTAAGTCTCAAAAATTAACTTCTGACAGAATGGTTTTTTTTGTGTCCTTTTTTTTTCCTTTTTTTTTCCTTTTTTCTTTTTTTTTCTTTTTTTTTTTTCTTTTTTGTTTTTATTTATTTACAATGTATTCGAAACATATAAAAGTCATGTTCGGTTTTATCCATGGGAAATACTAATTCTAAGATCTTTTAGGAATCGATTTGTGATGAGAATCTAGGAAGATAATTTTCGTTCGATTGGTAACATGATTCAATCTCCACAGAGTATTACCAACGGTTGGTAATTTCCATTTAAGTTACGTGTCGTTGTTAATCAAGATCTCTGAACAATCTTTTTTCTTTTTTTCTTCTTTTTTTTCTATTTTTTTTTTGGTTCTACTTTTTTCTCATCTTCTTCTTTTTTTTTTTTTTTTTTTTTTTTTTTTTACTAAAACGAAGAGAAAGAAGAAAAAGTCGATCCTTCGTTTTTCGGAAAAAAAATAAAAAAAACAAAAAAAAAAAAAGAAAGAAAGAAACAAACAAAAAAATACTCTTCGCTTAATTTCCCTTTCACATTTGAAAGTTTCCGCGAGCAGGATTATAAAAGCTAATTTACAGATTAGATCTTTTCGTATACTCTCTGCGATCACATTGCCCTTAAGGACTTTTAGTCTCTTTTCTTTTCTTTTCTTTTTTTTTTTTTTCTTTTTTTTTTCCTTTTTCGTTTCGCTACGCTTTCCGTTCAGTTTCGATCGTCGAGCTCGATGCTGCGATATTTCGTTCTTCCTCGTGGAAAAGATGGACTGAGACCGGAAGATCGATGAATACAGTCTTCAGAGAATCGAGTTAGATCACTTGTCGATCATTAACGAAACGATCGAACGAAACCGGATAATTATAAAAGTACATCGTTTTCTTTTCGAGAGTAAAAATCGCGAAAGGATCATTAATTCGATCAACAAATCTTGATTTTAAAAAGGACAATTCATTTTTTGTTTAATCCTTGTGCGATTTCTTCTCGTAAAACGACCCTCGAAATTCAAACTCGCTACGTTCTCGGAGATATCGAATCATCCTCGAAGCGATTCTTTTCTTCTTCTTATTTTTCTTCTTCTTCTTCTTCTTCTTCTTCTTCTTCTTCACTGATTTTTTCCATAGACGATCATCGATCAACGTCGTTTTACTCGATTCCCTTCATCATTCTCGCAGTATTCTTTAACGATTGTCTCTTGTTGCAAAACCAAATTCTAATCACTTCTCTGTCGTATCCTAAACGATGTGCTAACGTTGTAATTTCGGTACCTAAGATAAAAACAAAAAGAAAGATACATGTATATAAAATTTTATCTCATTTATATTTATATATATATATATATATATCTTCCAATATCATAAAATTATTTATTAAATTTCTTAAAAGAGACAATTTGTTGCTTTTGTAAAATTGAGGAATTATTGCAAAATTATAATTCGAATTTGATTTATTTATTAATTTTTTTTTCTTTTTTTTTTTTTTTTATTTATTTATTCATTTAATTCTTACCATTGGGATGAGTATTTCGGTCGAAATGAGCATTAAGCAATTCCAAAGCTTGAGGTGTGAAGGACGTCCGTCTCTTCCTCTTTTTGGTTGGTTCAACTCCGATGAAGTCCGTGAGATGATTTACTCCGCTCTTGTACCTGCAATCACGCGCACTGCTCTCGCTCAAATTCTGTAAAATCGTCTTCTCCTTTCGTATCTAACGCGATAAATTGTCCTAATGAATTTACAATATATCGTATTAATTTTCAAATCGTTCAAATTGTTCATTAAAAATATTTTTCTTTTCTATCATTTGAAGATTAATGAACCTATTGAAAACATTTGAAACATTTTAAAGATCTTTTTTTACAAATTATCAATTCTATCGTAACTATAATTATATTGTTTTAGTGTATAGTAATATGGAGTTAATCTATTTAAAATATATAATATCTTTCAATGGAATCGATATAAAAAAAATTATTCATGATAAAAATTACTTATTCTACATGAAAATCATTATTTCGTTAGAATTAAATCGTCATTAAAGTAAATAAATATAAATAATTACTTCGAAATAATTATATCGTATCGTATAAATTATCATTCAAAAAGGACAAAAGAAAGAAAAAAATGGAGAATACTTTAAATAATCAATTTTATCGAGATATCCTATCAGTTAAATGTATAATAGATTTATGTAAAAACTTTGAACTTTATTTCGAGAATATGTGTACGAACTATGTATGTATATTTGAAAGTTAATTCGTAAAAAGCATTAGATAGGATTGCTAAAGCATCCTTCATCCCTCGTCTTTGCTTATCTCGTTTTATTTGTCGTCGTCGCCGTCGTCGTCGCCGTCGTCGTCGTCGTCGTCGCTGTCGTCGTTGTTGTGTTATTGTTGTTGTTATTGTTCTTTTTCATTTTTTTTCCGTTCGAAAATAGTCAGCGGACAAACTTTTTTGGCCAGTCAACGAGACTCTCCGTAACTTCTACGTACGAGACAAATAAAGTTAGTGATCGCGAATGAACGGGTGAATTGAAGTACGGGAAAGCAGTCGTAAACAGGGATATTCTCGTATAACCAGACGATATTATGAATTATTACGAATATGTCAAACGCGATTTGGATGGAAAATATTAAGGATTTAAAGGAAGGAATGGAAGCTAACTTGATGAAGAACAATTCTTTTCGAAGTGTTTCGAAATCCTTCGTTAGAAATAATAATAGAATTTTACTCAATCAATTATTTGTGACTAATTAAATACTTTTGCGATTATCAACGTTTTAATCGTATCTTTTTCTTTTTTCCTTTAAATTGCACATTATCACAATTACACATACCACATTATATTGTCAAAGTGTTGAGTATTTCAATGTCAACTCTATAATACGTATTCGTATTTTTTACGAGAGATGATAATAGAAATTATCTTGGAAACTTATAAGTATATTTATATCTCAATGATTGTAAGTATCTTCATTCATAATTTTAAGTTTGACTTTCTAATTATCGATAAAATTATCTACAAAGTATGCTCGTTATCAATAAACGTCATCTAAATCTAATAATATGATCGGTTCAAATGAAAAATATATCTTTTTATTAATTTTTATTAATCATCGAGAATGAATAATAATTGATTAGGAATCATTAGTTTTTATTTTCCAATAAAATATTTCATGGAAATAACGAAATTTTTTTCTTTTAACAAATTTTGATCAGCAAAATTAATAATGGCAAAGGAAACAAATAAAATGATAAAGTGAAGCACGTCGAAATGAAAACTCTAAGAAATAGAAGATTTTACTGCGATCTCTCTCTCTCTCTCTCTCTCTCTCTCTCTCTCTCTCTCTCTTTCTCTCTTTTTGAACGTTTAACAAGAAAGAAATAAATATAGCTACAGGCGACAGAATCGTCACGTGCAAGAGTTGGCACGAATTTTTCTATTTCTCTCTCTCTCTCTCTCTCTCTCTCCCTCCCTCCCTCTTTTTCTTTCTAGAGAAAGAGAGCGCACCGACAAAAATTTATGTTTTTAATTTAAACTCCGAATGACCACGTCGTGGGCCGAGAGAAAAAGTGCACCCTGTCGTCGTCTTTGTCGTCGTCTTTGTCGTCCTTGTCCTCTCGTTTCCGTCCTCATCCTCGTTCCAAAGGGGTTAGGCCATTAGCATCGCTCGGTGATATTTCGTCGAATTTGCGAAAACAATATGCTAATGGAGAACGCGCCTGTTCTTTGCCAGAGTCGGAACGATTCTAATGGAGGAGGTGGGTTGTCGGGGAAGAGGGCAGTGGTGCCAAGAGAGACGAAGAAGGATATTCTGGGAGGTTTGCGGGCTGAATCGGTTAAGAACGTGCAGGAGTTTCCGTGGTGGGTTTACTCTTGCGTGGGTGTGAGTGAGAAACAACGAGAGAAATGGGGAAAGGAAGAAAGAAAGAGAAAGAAAGAAAGAAAGAAAGAGAAAAAGAAAGAGTGAGGGAGAGAAAGGTAGAGAATGAAGAAGAAGAAGAAGAAGAAGAAGAAGAAGAAGAAAAGGACAGTGGATTCTGGTTGGTGTATATGTGTAATATATATGTGTATATGTGTATATGTGTGTGTGAAAGAGAGAGAGAGAGAGAGAGAGAGAGAGAGAGAGAGAGAGAGAGAGAAAGAGAGAGAGAGAGGGAAAGAGTACGAGGGAGGTTTGCTGCAGGAGGAGAGGTACATCAGAAACCTGATTTTAATTAGTCCACAGTTTAATTACTCGGCAGATAAATCGTGCACGTGCACCGCATAAACTAGCCGCTTTCATTTTTCCCGGACTGCGATGGCGATGGCGGCGGCAACGGCGGCCGTCGCTCGCGCTTAGTTTCTACGTTGGGAGAATGCGAGATGGGTCATTGTTGCTGTTTTCTGTCATGAAAAGAAAAACGAGCAAGGCATAGAAACTTGCCTCTATCTCTCTCTCTCTTTCCCTATATATATATATATATATATATATATATATATATATATCTTTCTCTTTCATTTTAACGCTTAAGATATAGCTATAATTGAGTGAATCTTCGAGCTATGTGTTTTTCTCTTCGTTTCTCACAGGATTATTTTAAGTTTTTTATTGGATTATCTACTTTGCCGTTTCTATAATGATTTTACGGGTATTGAAAAAGATTCATCGTGTTAAGTTATAAGAAACATTATAAATCTTTGATTGGCGTATAATAATCTACGACATAATTGACGTCCAATAATCTTCGATATAATCTCGACGTTCCTTTTATAGGAACAATTTTGTAATGAAACATAAATAACATTTCGTATTGTCAATGTTTCGTTCTCTCATTCGATTGTATCGAAATACTTTTTTTTTTTTTTTTTTTTTTTTTTTTTTTATGATCATAGGAGGGAATAACTAAACCCCCCGGAAATAATTTCGTAGGAGGAAGAAATAGTTGAAGATCGTCGAAGTGACCGTAAGATCCCGCGGAGACTCGCGTGCCATTGGGACTTCGCTACGCTAACGGTTCTCCGTTCCCCTCTTCTCACCGTCCTCACCGCCGTCTGCCGTATTCTAATTAACATTCCGCGTATTTATTAGACGCGGATCGGCAATTAATCAGCTGGATTCAATTAGCGAATTACCAATTAGCACGCACGCGTTCACACGCTTGCCCGGGACAGAGCCCGGTGTTCGACTGGAGGGAGAATATGTGTATATACATATATATATGTATATGAGAAAGAGAGAGAGAGAGAGAGAGAGAGAGGACCAAGAGAGATCCTGTTGGACGATTGCGGAATAATCGTGCATCGAGACTAAAGCGATAGGATACCACTTCGTAGTTGGTATGAATATATAGAACAGTTTCAAAGGATTCCGACTTTAGCGTTCGAGAACGTAGAATTATCTTTCCTCCTTCACTTTTTGAGAAAGAATCAAATATATTTTGGATAAAAAATAACAATCAGATATCTAATCTTAATTCGAAAGGAACTAGTTAAGAAGTTTTTGAGAAATCGTTTGAAGTCATAGAAACCGATACTATAAATCGTCGTGCGTTCAGATTTCTAATCTCACATTTATCGTTGTATCGGCATGTTAAGCAACCCGTTTATTGCAAGTATCTACGTACTAACATGTAGTGTAATAATTCTCATTGCGTTTAAATTGCACCGGAGAATACACCGAAAGATCATCCATAAATGAGAAGTGTCCCTTTTGGTATATGATTAGTGCGATACATATGTTAACTATGTGTCTGTACAGTATGTATATATATATATATATATACACGAACGGGATCGGACCACTTAGGGGAAGGCGGGATTTATTTATGTATGTAACTTTTTTCGATCGCGTTGTCTAACGATTTACGTTGGACAGGTTTTTTAATTACTTTCTCATTCAGGCCATTCGATAGATGTTTATCCGTAACGATCTCTCGAACGTAATTGAAAGTACGAGGAAGAAGGAGGAAGATCAACTATCCTTTACGGTTGCGTCTTATAAAAGGTGAAAGAGAGATATGTGTCTCACCTTTCCTCGGCTTCCTTCATCCACCTCTCCAACACTGGCTTAATTTTCTGCGCACTTTTAGGTGTGATGTCCAGCTTTTCGAATCTAGACCGAAGAGCAATAGATTTTCATTGTCCAATCGTTTTGGACGAATCCTTTGTAGGACGATCGTTCGAGAGAGAAAGAAAAATTTTGACAAGAGGAAGAAGGAATAATACGATTTTTATATTTTTCTTTTTTCTTTTCTTTTATTTTTTCTTTTTTTTTTTTTTATTTCTTGAAATTTGAAAACGTTACATTTCGCGTCGTAATTTTTCTTTCCTCTTGGAAACTTCTTTTTTCTTTCTTTCTTTCTACTTTCTTCTTTTTTTTTTTTTTTTTTTTTTTTCTTTTTTTTCTATAGTTTCTTGATTAAAATTAACACACTCGCCCACACCAAAATGCGTTCGACAAAGGAGCACTAAGAAAGGGCATGCATCGATTCAATAACAGGACATTGACAATGCGTGCATGCATTTTGAAGATTTGGTGATGCCGTGTATGATGTTGCCAACGCAGTTCGTCGCCAAAGTAGAAGATCGAATTGAGGATCGAAAGGACGTTGTAAAATTGAAGTAAAAGTAAGAGAAAGAGAGATAAAGATAGATAGATAGAGATAGAAATAGGTAGATGTTGTTAATTGTTCTCTTTTCTTTTCTTTTCTTCTTTTTTTTTCTTTTTTTTTTTTTTTTTTTTGTGAACAACGAAATGAACAGCGACAGTTCGAGCATCGTCGATACGTTCGTTGCGTTGGCGACATCATGCCCAAGTTTGCCAATGCCCTGGCTCGGAGAGAAACTATTCGTTAATCTCAAAAAGTGCTCCTTATCGCAAATTTCTCTTTTCCGGATGTGGAATTAGAAATTAGTAAGAGTGTTTTGCAGCTATACCCAAATATGCCCGATCGGATTCGCAGGGAGAATTCAAATATCAGGTCGTTGTCAGATCACTTTCCTCGATGTATTAACAAACATTCGATATTTGTTTCGACAAAGAAAAAAAAAAATCTATCGAGTTATTTACCCGTCGATCCTATTTTTTCTTTTTGTCTTTTCTTTTCCTTTTCCCTATCTTTTTTTATTTATAAGTTTTTTTTCTTCCCTTAATTTTTTTTGTTTGTTTCTTTTTTTTTTTTGTTTATTCTTTTCTCTTCTTCTTCTTCTTCTTCTTCTTATTATTATTATTATTATTATTATTATTATTATTATTATTGTTCCTAAAAAACTGAGCGATTATCTTTGGCCCGTTCACGAACCACCTCTGCACGCTTGGGTATAACCGCGTTGATTTTTTTTTTTTTTTTTTTTTTTTTAAAGTTTTTTAATTTTTAGGTGAATTAGGTAGCATATGAGGGGTGAACGTACGTAGCTTGCTGCTGTGACACAATCTGCGAGGCAGCGTACATCTGGGTAGCCAGGGCACTGGGGAACAATCACCAATGCTTAAATTAGTCGATACGATAAAGAGACTCTAAATACATCGTATTGATCTTTTATTTTATTTTATTTTATTTTATTTTATTTTATTTTATTTTATTTTATTTTATTTTATTTTATTATATTCGAAACGCTGCCATTGGCACACTCTCGACCACGTTGGTTCCTCTTCATTTCATCAGTCGTCATTTTCGAAGATTGTTTCTTCAATTTTTTTCTTTTTTTTTTCTCTCTCTCTCTCTCTCTCTCTTTTCCTCTTTATTTATTTATTTATTTATTTGTCAATTTATTATTTTTCTTTTTTCTTTCTGTTTTTTTTTTTTTTTTTGGTTTTTTTTGTTTCTTCTAATTCGAGCGGATAAAATACAGCGCGGAAAGGAATGAAAAATATCTTCTCGAGTTTAGGAACCAACGTAATCATTCGAGTTTGTGACGAGAAGAAATAACTCTTGCACGAAACTACACCGCCTAACGTTGCGTGTACGTAATCAGAATCGATTTCGTGAGGAACGCGGCGAGGATGAGACGCGTGAAATCTCTTTTCTTTTTTTTTCTCTTTTTCTTTTATTCTTTTTTTTTTTTTTTGTAAACTTTAAGAATTCCGTAGCTCGTAAAATGTCCGGTAATTAAAGAATTCTACAGAGAATAATTTTTTTTTCTGATCATTTTTTTTTTTTCTTTTCTTTCTTTTTTTATCGAACAACAGTATGAACATATAAAAGTGTCAACCGTTTAAACGCCATTTCCAGTGACCTGGCACACTATTCGTCGTATAATTGTCCATTCCTTGATTACTCCTCAGCGACGTTCGTTTCTCTTCCTTTTCTTTAAGGTCTTTTTTTTTTTTCATTTTTCTTTTTTTCTTTTCCTTTAAAACTCTAATGACAATAACAAGAGAAAAGGGCCTACCTGCATATGGCACTCTGACTATAAGCAGGACCTTCGGTAACGCTAAGGGCTTGACCAACTTGTGTTTGCGTTAGGCCCAACGAAAGTCTACGAAGTTTGAAAACCTTCGCGAACTCTTTGATCTCATCGAGGTTGATACCATCCACAACGTTATTCGTGGCTTCGTTGATTGTCGGTTGATCTGTAAAAAAGAGAAACTTTTATGATCAAAAGATAATTAAATGTAAATTAATAAAGAAACTTTCTAATTTCCTAATAAGAGGAAGTATTACTCGTCATTCCTTTCCTATCGCTGTTATCATGATAATAAACAATATAAGATAAATATGAATAAACATAAATGACAAGTAATCGATATTGATAATTGAGTACAGTGATTGCAATAGTTGAATGTCTTAATCAAAAAAAAAAAAAAAAAAAAAAAAAAAAAGAAAAAAAAAGAAAAAATGAAAAATAAAGAAATAAATTAGAGAATAGTATCTTGGAGTGGATTATGTAGTTTCTTAGAAAAGGAAAGAAAAAATAAGAAAAGACGAAGGATGCACCATATCTTAACTCTTAATTGCAACCTCGAGAGGATAGGCACGAGAGATATCGGTTTATCCAACGTACGCAGAAGTTATTCCGTGATCGTTCTAACGGCTCACATTCCTAACGCATTAGGTTCGCGATGTAGTCTCGGTCGAGCGAGCGTGCACGTTTCGATCGATTCGTCAGAACGTATCCTGGCAGCCGGCGAGAAGCTGCCTAATGACATCAACCGTGGCGGCTTCGTTAAAGCACTTTGAATTACACCGATTTCACTCGTAAATCTGTCACCCCAAATGTTTATAAGGCGTGCGTACACGTACCCAAACGTCTTGTCCGATCTTAAATAATCTATAATGCTCTATACGCCTACATTTCTAAGATCACGGAACTTGAACTTTTTTTCTTTTTTTTTTTTTTAGGAAGAAGAAGAAAAAGAGAAAGATGAGATTTTTCTTGAAAAATCGATTCAACTTAAGTTGATTATAACAATTTAATGGGATTTAATTTCCAATGGATAGTCATTTTTAATTGATCATCCATTTTATTCGAATAATTTCATTTTAAGAAATTTCTACAAAATCTGGCAAGTTAAGAATAATGGAAAAATTGATAAAGAAAAATGTTGAGGGATAAAATGAATATCATTTATAAAAGTTTGTATTTAAAGTCGAGTTATACGGACGTGGATAACAAATTACGGAGAGAGAATCTTATGCGTAAACTCTAGAGCAACGGTATAATCTATCTTCGCGTTAGCAGAGCGCAATGTTCCATTCGATAATGGCAATTGAGTATCGTTAGGCGGTGAATGATCATTCGAGTCGAGTGGAAATGACGAAGTGGCAGTCCGTGAGCGGCAATGATTGTGAATTATTAAAATTATTATCGGCAGGTTCGAGGTTAGTCTCGTCGTTGGAATCGTCGATGGGTTCCTAGAAGACGGCCACTAAGTAGCCAATCTAATGTCCCGTAATGAGGCGGAATGTTGTACGATATCCTGTTGTACGTTACCCCGGGATTACCGAGCTACTCGACTCCGAGCTCCAGCGACTAGCTTAAGTACACTCTCGTGTAGAGGATCGACTGAGTTATTACTACTTGCAATCGTCTTCCGATTGCCAACAATATAACGCCTTATCAGAAACGATTCACGTCACTCAAAACTAATTTTCAAATGAATCAACGTATACTTCTCATCTGAGTCATAATAAATGATTAACGTCGATATAAAAAGAATTTTCATAATTATCAAACAAATTCTCTTTGACAATGACGAATTAAACTTAAAAGACATTATTTTTATTTATATGCCATTGAAAATAATAAATTTAACGATCTAATAAATAGAACGAATAAACAAGAACTATTTACAAAAGCAATTACGTAGCTTTATTAAAGATAATTTATAATCCGATTTGATATTAATATAACACGATTGAACGTCATTGAAAGAAAATTTCGATGTTGTTTGAGATGTTCGATAGAAAAATAAGGATGGGTCATTCTTACTCGGGGAATCGTTGAGGAGATCATCTTCTTCCTCCTTGGGACTGTGCAAAGTGCTTGGCGAGGCCTTTATTCCTCCAGCTCCACTAGGACCATGCGTCGTCGTGATAGTAATCTCACCGTTGCTGGACGTCAATCTGTTTAGAGCAGAGGCTGCGGAGACTACAGATTCGTTCAAAGGCGACGACTGTTCCGGTCTCTCTCTGTGATGCTTTTCTGTTGGCTGTGAACGATACGATAGTATGATAGAGAGAGAGAGAGAGAGAGAGAGAGAGAGAGAGAGAGAGAGAGAGAAAGAAAGAAAGAGAGAGAGAGAGAGAGAGGGAGGGAGAGAGAGAGAGAAAGAGGGGAAGGCAACGGATTAGTTTCTCCATCCCTCCCCCTATCTCTCCAAAGAACGACAATACTCTTCTCTTCCACGCCAATTATGCACTTAATAATGAGACGGAGTCTCGGGATCAGGACACTTTAGAGTCTAATTAGTGGAAGGAACGCCGTCGGTACGGAATACTTTCTTAACGAGATTGCTTGCTATTGGGAATTATTCAGGTCGTACTGTGCTGATCTTACGATGGTTAACGTCTATCCGTTCCGTGGAAACTCCATGGTTTGGTTGTATATATCGTATAGGGATACAAGTTTGTATACATTACCGGGAAGCAATTGGAGAAGAATAATTCTCGTTTCGTGAGGTCATTACGACCGACCGACCGATCGATCGATCGATCGATCGATCGATCGATCGATCGATGGATGGATGGATGGATGGATCGATCGATGGATCAAACAAAGTAGAGAAGCTAACGGATTAGTTAAAGAGATCGATGGATAGAAACGTAAGAAAATTTAACTCTTTTATCATCGTTTATCTTGATATATAATTTTTTTATTTTTTTTCTTTTTTTTTTTTTTTTTTATTTTTTTTTTTTTTGAAGAAGTGATTTTCGGATAGACACCTCACTTGATCTCATTTACTATAGCTTAGAAGCGTTAAAGCGATTTCGAAAATCATCGTCTAAAGTATAAGACGTAACGATATTGAACGAGGTATGGCGTTAGCTTCACTTACCGTATAATGATTCATGTGCGAGCCATGTCGATGGCTGTGCTGTTGCGGTGACGTCGTGAGAAGTGGTTGTTGAGAAGCCTGGGCAGCTTGGACGGCTTGCGCTGCCTGAGCTTGTGCCGCTTGAGCTGCCTGAAGCAGCTGCTGGGGTTGCATTGCATTCAGAAGCTGTTGGCTCGCTGAACTGTTGCTCAAAAGGTGAGGCAGTGCTGCGGGATTCAAGCCTAATCCCGATGCCAGACTCGGACTTGTCGGAACTAACGCACAAACAAACGCGCGCGTGCACACATTCAGTCGAACGTATGGTACTGTAGGAAATACACTTTGTAGCTTACTATCGAATTGGGTTAAACGAAGGAAGAATACATGATTCGCGTGAGAATATTACGTATTCTAATGTAAGAGAAAGTCAAATGTATTCATTTATAAAAGAGAAAAAACTTTTTTATAATCTTTATTTTTTAATAATAATAATAATAATAATAATAATAATAATAAGAAGAAGAAGAAGAAGAAGAAGAAGAAGAAGAAAATTTCTTTCTCTCTCCCTCCCTTTCTCTATCTATCTATCTATCTATCTCTCTCTCTCTCTCTCTCTCTCTCTCTCTCTCTCTCTCTCTCTCTCTCTCACCCTTACCGTTGCTCGTCGGTGTGTTCAACATATTTTGAGGTTGTGCGATCGATTGAAGATTCGCCAATGTCGTAGAAACTACTTGACCATTACTGAGTGCCAAGTTGACCATTTGATTATTCGTTACGTGGTTCACGGGAATGGTCAATATAGTCTGCGTTGCTATACCTAAATAAAAAAGAACTTAATTGAATATGTTAATTCGGTCAGTCAGTTATTGAGATAGAATATTATATATCAAGGGATACTTATATTAACTTATATTAAATCTTAAAAACATCCTTCAGTTCGATATAAACACTTCGTTTCCATTATGTAGCTAATCCACGCGTCGTTGATCCAGGATGGATAGTAAAGTTATCAGAGTCTCATAGAGGGATTATTAGGCAACCCATAGGGCAGGTAACCTCCCAGGCTAGCGTAGTTGGCAAACTATTATCGTCATCTTAATAGTGGGTACAGGTACTGGCCCTGGACTGGGCTGCGAGAAGGACGCCTAATCATACTTAGAATAGTTTCGGGATTACCTCCAGCTCCGCTAATCTGATTACCCTGTACACGCGCTTAATATGATTACTGATCATGAGTACGTACCCGTGTTGGTACCTATAGCCAAGCTAAGCAAATCCTGTATTCCGAACAGCCATAAAAGTTTCACGTTCTGAGTTAATGTCAACTGACAATCCGATTATAGTTTACGATAACGAATAATAAGTTGAAGAACTTTTACATCTTTTAGTTTTCTTTCGAACTTTCATATCATTAAGATTAAAAATATTTTCTAATAAATATCTTTCAAAGCGCTTTCTACGATGTACATTTATGTATTTATATTTGTTAAATATTTAGACGTAAGAGAGGAATATAAACATTGTTTGCCATGATGTAATTCTTCATTGAATCGTAGTCAATTCGTATCGGTCTCAAACTTCAATATACTTAGGCTGCTTTATGGTTCTCTATCATTTTCGTCTCTCTCTCTCTCTCTCTTTCTCTCTCACTCTTCGTAGTCTCAACCTTCTCTCTCTGCCTCTCTCTCTCTCTCTCTCTCCCTCTCTCTATGTCCCTCGATTGCCAGAATAGGAACTTAACTTGGTAGAAACGAAGTTAGCGCGGACCACAATCGATATAATAGCCGTCGAATCCGCGAAGCTGATGTCCAGCTAGAGTAGCCGGGCGAGAAGGGATAGTTCGAAGGGCGGGACCAAGGAAAGGAGCAACGGGGAAAGAGCAGCTATGGGTGGGACAAGGATCTGTAAGGTTGGAATGGGGTAGTGAGACGTTAATTATACATTGAAATTAGTTGCAGAGTTTGCCCTATGCTTGCCGAGGCGATCTAGAAGCACTACTAAGTATGGCCGACTGGTCAGCCTTCGTTGAAACTGACCAGAGATAGTCGATATAATATTATATATCGTATATTGATCGGACAATATTATTATGTATTTATATACATTTCTCTTCGTCATATTGATTCGAGAAATTTATTATATACAGTTAACGATGGATTACAAATGACTTACCTTGAGAGGTAGGGATTAAAAGTTGGGCTCCTTGAAGACCCTGAACTAATTGACCGGACATAAGGATGAATTGCGGCATTGCTACTGGTTGTGGTTGAGACAATAGCTGAGGTAACGTCACCATTGGCGCTGGACTTGGTGGTAAAAGATGTGGTCCTGCTGTTGTACTCGAGGCAGTTGGTGCGGTGCCCCCTATAAAGGAAAAAAAAAAGACCAATTTGACGATACATCAAATATTCTCTTTGATCTATTTCCATCGTTTAATTATTAAGAAAATTAATGTTGTCTCTACCGGATGAGCTAACGGTGAGATTCAAAGGGGTATTGATCAACTGATTGTTGCTCAGTCCAGCCGTCATTCCCTGAAGACCAGCAGCCAATGAAGCGACCTGCGGAAGATTCTGAAGATTCGCTAGATTTTGAAGGTTCTGTAGAGTCACCATACCGGCCACTGTAATTATAAATAATTCGCGATGCTAAATAATTTTTCTATTAATACTGAACCATCTAAATCTAATCCTACTCGTAAGAAAATATAAATAAAGAAATTTCGATCCTTACTAGTTCCATTGAGATGAGCTTGCGCTACCGCCGCTCGTTTCGCTTGATGGAGATTTTCCGGCGACGGACTTCGCCGTCTTTTCCGAGAATTTTTTACATCGTCCATCATCATTTGATGTTCATGAAGCGAGCCTGTCGCCGATTCGGGACTCTCCAAACTCTGTAGATTTTCTAAATTTTGTAGATTTTGAAGGGTAACCATCGCGGCCACTATAAAATACAATTGATATTAAAAAATAAAATTAACGTTCTCGATTGATTGATACTTATTCTCTCTATTGATACTTACTGGTTCCATTAAGATGTGCTTGTGGTACGGCTGCACGTTTCGCTTGATGTAAGTTCTCAGGAGACGGAGTCCGTCGTCTTTTCCGCGAATTCTTTATATCTTCCAACATCATTTGATGTTCGTGCATAGCGCCTGTCGCTGGTTCTGGACTTCCACTGCTACTCCTGTCGCTGTCCTAAAATAATAAATGATTTCATTAGAAAAATGATTTGTCACGAATAAATTTTAAGAATCGAGCTTATTTTAAAAATCAAATTAATTTATTCCGTATAATTGATATAACAAAAATCACGCACTAATGTTCGTATAATAAGGATTGAATATATATATTATATAAAATCGAGAAATGTGAGAAAATATTATATAATAAATATTATATCTGTAAAAAATAATATACATATATGTGAGTATACTTAATATATACTTATATAAAATGGAGGACTAAGAAAATTACGATTATAATTATCGAAGACAATAGAACGTCGAGTTTGATGATACGCTGAATTATCTGTTCTCTCGTCGATAGCATTTGTACTGATGGTCATGACGTGCCTCAATGTTCCTATCCATCGAAAAATAGAGGCACGGGACATTTTTTTTTATCCGCTCTCTCTCTCTCTCTCTCTCTCTCTTTTATATATATATATATATATATATATATATATATATGTGTGTATATCTCTCTCTTTTTCTATTTTTCTCTTTCTCTCCCTATCCGAAATCAATCGAACGAGCACGCAAAGGTTTTAGCACAAGCTTGCAATCATTCTCGCCAAAATGCTCAATTATACGCGCGTGGTTCGTTAACGTACCACGCTTTTTATTGCGGCGGCACGTTTAACGCTGAAAATTGATTAATAATCATTCACGGTCTAGCTATCACATATAGGTATAAATGCTTCGCTTCGAAATAATGGTAGACATCCGAAATGGAGAAAAAAGAAGAATAAATTCGATCATTGTAGATGTGTGGGAAGGTGTATGAGAAACAGAGAGATAGAAATAGAAAAAAGAAGAGAGAGAGAGAGAGAGAGAGAGAGAGAGAGTGGGAGCAAGAGTGAGAGATGTTGAGAGGAAGGCAGAGTACCAAAATTATCAGCGAAAGGTGGTGCGATTGTCGTTAAAAATTTGTTCGCGCTTGTTCTTTTTCCTTTATTTTTCTTTCCTTTCTTTTTTTTCCCCCCTCCCCCATTTTCTCTCTTTTTCTTTCTATTTTTCTTTTTTTTCTTTTCTTTTTTTTTTTTCCTTTCTTTTCTTTTCTTTTTATCAACCAACGATCGTTAAGCCAAAAGAGATTTCGAAGTATCGTTGATAATTCAAAGAGACTAAAAAATTATCGTGTCGAATGCGTAATCACTTTTGATAATATGATCGATTGCCAACATAAAACTTATCATCGTTATCATTACAAAGTTAGAAATCACGTAGGAAGTGAAGAGGTAAGGGATCGGTGACACAAATCGACGTAATTTTCTTTAGAATTTCATGACTCGAGGCAAAGCCGATCGTAAATTCGCTCGATAGCCTTTTGCGATTCGAATTGGCGACGTCCATTTAGCCGAGAACATGTTGCTTGATCGACGACGAAGGAGAGACGTAGGTATTACGTAAAATTATGACGAGGCAAGCGACGGAAGTGATTCGCCGTGTATATTAGGCGTTCTACGTGGCAATCGTTGAGAGGGAAAGAGTGAGAAAGAGAGAGAGAGAGAGAGAGAGAGAGAGAGAGAGAGAAAGAGAGAGAGAAAGGGAGGGAGAGAGAAAGAGAGAGAGAAAGGTAGGGCAATGGGGGAAATAGGGGGATATAGGGAGAAGAGAAAAAAATATATTAATGACCTGTCCCTATCTCTCCTTCTTCGGCTTTCGTGCAACGCGATATATAATTCATGCATATTTACGGGGATACCCGAGGAATAATTAACGGACGCCCGGCGCATTAAAGTGGATATACACTGTCACGTATGTGCGTCCTATGTACATGAACGTATGTACGTATGTAGGTACGTTCTTACGTACTTTGCACACACGTATACAAGCTAACACGTGTGTATATATATATATGTATATATATGTATGTATGTATGTATATATATATATATATACGTATGTATAGACGGGTTCTTAGAAGACAATCTAAATTATAATAAATCGATGGAGAGTACGTACAAGCCACGATGCTTTACTACCACACGTGAGTCTATAGAGAAAGATAGAGATATATAGATATCTATATGCGCGTAGAAGAAAGAGAAGGAGAGAGAAAGATAGAGAGAATGAGAGAGAGAGAGAGACGGGTTTCACCAACGTCGCACGATGCTGGTGTTGTACGGAGTAATGTTACCGGTGCGGCCTCTTTGCATAATGGCATGGAAATATGCCGGAACGTGTATCGCCATAGTTGGATACAGATTAAGCGTTTTAGAGCTTCGACACCCGAGGTAATTCGGGAAAAAGTGTCCCCCAGGTGACTTGGCCCCCATGAATAAATCCTGAGAAAAGCTTTCACCCGCTTTCCGCGACGTACCCGCAAGAGCTGCCGGGAGGATATCCAAGAAGAGAGAGTGAGAGAGAGAGAGAGAGAGAGAGAGAGAGGAAGAGAGAGAGAGAGAAAGACTAACAGATATCGGATTTTGTAGAGGAACTATCCTCCTATGTATCTATCTATACTTTAACTTATCCTTTAGCAAGATAGTCTGTTATCCTTAATTATCATCTCTTAAGTATCGCGACAAAGTATTGAAATATTAAAATAATTTTGAAAGAAAAAAATGCAATAAAATTAGGACATATAAAAATGCTTTATAAAACAATTGTTATAATAGTAAAAGAAGTTTTGAAAACAACAACAACAAAAAAGAAAATATATATATATATATATATATATATATAAATGATTTTAAATTTTCGTAAAAGTGACGCCAGTGCACGCTCGTTTGGCTTACATATAAATCGTCCTTCTACTACTATAAAATACCAACCCCTACACCAACCAACCAACGTTACCAACACGAGGCATTTCATTACATAAAAAATAGATAAAGCCCCGGTTCGATAGGTAACGGACGAAAATAGGAGAAATGGTTGAGCGTACGTACACCTACGAGGTAGTACAATATTTTTTTTTTCCCCCGTCCAAATTCGTAAATGACTATAAAGAGCAGTAGCATGGCTGCCTGGGCCATCACAAACCCCCTTCTACCCCCATATTAAATGGACGAGTCGAGGGGGATTAGTTGAATGCTCGGGTGCCCCCGCCATTTTGTTTGTAAAAGTGCGTAAACGATATATACATGTAAACACACACATACATTTATATATATTGTATGTATGTGTATATATATATATATATATATATATAGTATGAATATGTGTGTGTGTGTGTGTAAATATACATATAAAGAGAGAGAGAGAGAGAGATATGTATATATAAAGCTGTAGAAACGTATGTTTACGGGCTTTTGGCATTTCACACAAATTAATAAACTCTGTCGCTTGCCGTCATCTCTTCACTCTGCCTATCTCTTTTTCTGATATTATTTAATACAATTTGAGATAAATATCACTTAAATCTGATGGTAACAGGTGACTATCGATTTTTTTTAACAATATTGCAATATGTCAGCAATATTCATTAATGTTAAATGTGAGCATAAATCTAATCAAAAGTTGAAAATATTCCGTACGTTTTAGTAACATACACGTTTTATCTTATAAGTATAATAAATTTGATAAAAATTATTATTGTTAATAACTAAATTGTATACTATTATATAAAGATGAATCGAAATGTCTCATAACTATGAAAAATTTTCTATTTTGAATAGAACGATTTAATGAAAATATTTTTAAATAATTATATTACTAAAGATTACAATCACGTTCGAAGTGATGACAATCATGATTATTTATAAAACGAAGAAACGATAGAGTGAAAAAAAAAAAAATAAATGATTTTGCCGAAAAAAGAAAAAGGATAGACAGAATCGTTAGGATGTTTTGCGCTCGTGTCAGATAGGGATTCATTGGAGGGAAATTCAAAAAGGCGCGTTCGATGACTGGAACGGTACAGCATCATAATGCTTTCAATTTTGGGGAAGAATTGGTAGGTAGCAGGATGGTAGGACCAATCGGTAAAAAATCGTTAGCAAAAGCTCCACCACGGACCATCTCGCTAATACGAAAAATGCGAGAGACAGATACAGCCCCTTGCTACCCTCTCGTCGAAAGCAAACGAGGCAAGAGGAGAGAGTTCGTGCTGGATGAGGAAAAGGGTGAGGATGAAGAGGATGAAGAGGACGAAGAGGAGTGGAATGGGGAAAGGGGATAGGGGATAGAACGTACGATATATCTCTACGCGTATGGCGGAAGGACGTTAAAAAACGATACGTAGGGGAGAGCAGAAGAGTTGCAATAGTATGAGTAAAAAAGTAGAAGAAGAGAGAGAGGGGGCGGGGGGAGGAGAGGATGAGAGGTAGGTTAAAGTGGGTGGTGGTCGGTCGTTGGAAATGCAACAATAAACATTACTTATCGATGGGCGAGCAGCCCTTTAACAATGCGTATACGACGCGAAGCGAGCCGAGGCCAAAGCGCGCGAGGCAAAGCGCAAGTTTTTTGCAATAAAGTCATTTCGACCGTTTGAGTTATGGGTAATTCCTGGGAAGCGAGTAGTAGGTGCTTGCGCGCGCGCGCGCGTGCTCGTGCAAGCACGAGTACAACCAACCAGAGAGAATCACCGGCAACAGCAGCAGCGGTGGTAGAGGCACCAGCAGTAGTACCACCTCCTACCCATTCGCCATCCTCCGTCGGTCCGGTCCATTGATTAGTATTAATGACTTAGCTGCACTCATTTCGCCCGAATAAAAGTAATTGGATTTGGCTTCGAAGCCCGCGAGCCGCGCCAGCGGCGTCGCTGGCGTCGACCGTCGCCGCCACCGTCGTCGGCTTTCAAACGAAAGCCGTAGCCGCGTGTAAAAATACATTAATATCTGTTTGCGCTTAATAAACGATAGCCAACACACCCCACCAGAACGTACCTTCGAACTCACACCCAACTCCGTCCGACTTCAGACTAATGGCCGTATTCCGGAATCGGTAATACGCGTTTTTTTTAACAATTCTCTCGCTTCTTTCCAATTCCACAGTATATTCGAATCTTCTCCCAAACCACCTTTACGA